GGCTTGGTAACTAGAGCGTTCAGTTCCTCCTCAGTTGGTTCTTCGATGACCACCGCAGGTGGCCTAGGCTTTCTCACACCAACCTTTATTCTGACGGTTCGACCTTCAGGAGCTGGAGTAGGAACAGAAGCGTCCTTCGTTAACCTTCGCCTCTTTAAGGGAGAAGGAGGGGAATCACTTTCGTCATCACTCCCCGATTCGATCACCAAGGCTGCCCTTTTCTTGGGCGAAGGGGCCTATAAAACCAATAGGAATTCGATTGAATAATTACGTCGAAAATAAAAAATCGAAAGCCAGAAGAAAAATGAAGAAAATCTGGTTACCGATGCAGGAGGCCTCCTCGAAGAGCCTTCCCCCTGTTGGTTGCCTGTTGTCTTCGCCGGCGCTATAGTCTTCGCCGGCGGTGGAGGTTTTGTCGAAGGGACCCCTCCTTGTGGGCCTCCTGTAGCCTTTTTGACCAAGGGTTTTCGAACAACTAGAAGCGAAAAGGAAAGTTAACAAGCTAACAGTCGAAGAGAAAGATAAAAAGTAATGTGAGAGTATGAACTTACATTTCTTTACTTTGTCAAACACAAGGACAAAAGACTTCTGCAACTCTGATATGAAGTCCTTCTCGTCGAAGAAGTACTCAGCGTAATAGCTTCTCCACCACTCTTCAAAAGATGGTGAGCAAAGGAAGTTAAGCTGGTAGTTGAACAGCGAGAGGATTGTTCGACCAGCATACCTTCCGATATGCTTGGTAGCAGCTTCTTCTGTATAATCGTTGCAGAAGTACAACATTGATTTCTCTCTTTGGAAAATGGGAGAAGGCAGGGTTTGGATGATACCAAACTGGCGAGACACCAGATTGGGTTGATAGGCAAGCAGACTCAGATGAGTCTTAGAACTTTTAAATCGAAGAGGCATGATCCTGGGTGTCAGGAACGCCTCCCAAAGTATAGTGTGCTCATCGACATTGGGACCACTCGACTCCTTTGGATGTGGCCTCGTAAACCATGCTGGCCCCACCTTTCGTTGAGCAAATGGAGCCATAGTTGAAACGAATTCCTTCCTTCGAGCGAACATCAGCACGAAGTTAGTGAAGGTTTGTTGGAACTCTAGCCCATCTTCTACAGGTGTCAGTAGAGCCAGCCTAATTCCTTCGATACGTCTATTAGCTATCGCTGGGGCTTGTTCATTTATCTGAGTCTTCTTGGGTAAGAAAGACTCGAAAGTGGCGTTAAGCCACAGTTGAAGTAGCCAGAAAGGCCCAGCGAGTAGCAAACTGTTCCTATCTTCGACGTGCTTCAGGAGAGTAACCCCATTGCTGATTGAGTCATAAAGACTGGCCAGAATTAGTTCTGCCAAACAGATGTTCTGGCGGTGATGCAGTTGGGTGGCCAGAGTGACCATCTTTTTGGTCACTTGCAGAGACTTCGAACAAAACACAAAGCGAGTTAGCCATAAGGCTAGAAACGCTATGTGTTCGACATCCGACACTGTATCCGTCGACCTGTCGTGAAAATGGTTGATAAAGGTGGTGAATGTTGGCTTCGTCTCAGAAAAGCCAATTTGGTCCTCCGACATCTCTTCCGGGTCGAAGTAATCTCCGGTTGGTCGAAGGCCAGTGATGGCTGCTACGTCGAAGAGTGTGGGAGTTAACATCCCACATGGAAGGTGAAAGGTGAAGTGAGAGTTATCCCAGAAAAGCATCGAAGCTATAAGCATCTCTGGAGAGTAGTTTAAACCTGTCTTCGACAGCATTACTAGGTCAAAGATTCCCATTTCCTTCCAGACTGGAGTTTGATGTTTCTCCAACTTTGCTAGCCAAGCAACATAGTCAGAGGTCAGATTAGGGCAAGACCTAAAAACTCTAACACTTCTGTTGAAGAAACGAAGGTCGATCTTCTCGTGTGTGGGGTCTTCGTTGTCTTCTGGATCCTTCTTAGCACAGGCTACCGGCTTGAGTTTCTCGACGATGGGAAAGTAGCTCTTGATCTTCAGAGCTTCAGAGATGCTGGGGTTCATGGGTCCAGACATTGCGAAGATTTGGTTGGAGTATCCAACCGGAATCATCAAGTGACGCGAGTAAGCGTCGCGAACGGAGATGTCAGATGGTTCAGGGACCCTTCGTTTCCCTGTAGCGTTCACTACCGGAGCAGTAACAAAGACCTTTGGCTTAGCAAGTTGTTCAGTTGGTGCGTTAGTCTTGGGGGCAGTAGAAGCAGAAGCCATTGTTGAAGATGAAGATGAAGTTGGAAAAGGAAGAGTTTTTCTGCAAAGAGAAACAAGTTTGTAAGAAAGCAAGGGAGTTTGAAGGCTAGTTTGCGTGAAAAGTCCCACAATGGGATATTCACTACTATTTATAGTAGTGGGAGAAATTCCCAATAACGAGGGCATTAAATGTCATTTAATGCTGCAGGAAGTAGTGGGACGCGTGGCAGCATCCTGTTGTTTTGGCCGTTTCTGCAGAAACAGAGAGACGCAGCGTGCGTCCTCGTTTTTTGAATTTGTCATAATGACAAATTATGAAGTGATGTTTTGGTTCTGCACGCCGTACTGACAGTGACGTCCTAGGATCAAATCAATGATGGTTTCTTGGGATTGCCAATAGTTGGTAAAAAGCAACAAAAAGTGCACAAGTTAACTTGTGACTAAGCGTGGAAAAACAGGTGTCGAATGGCGTTTTCAAAGAATGCCTTTTTCTTTCAGAGTCGAAATAAGGCATTCTTGGGGGGCAATTTGTTGGCTCCTAAATTCGACACCTTTGTTTTGATTGATGGCAGCCATGAAAAGCTGAAAGATGCTTTCGACTGGCTAAGCCTGTCGAAGTGCCTGTCAAAAGATGACAAAATACTTAGAAGATTTCTTCCAAGGAAGAAGGCTGATTGCCTTCGACGTCGAAGAAGTTTTCGTCGAAGACGCCTCTTGACGAACGTGTTCGATGGTCCAGAGTGGAGCAGTTTGAAATTCAAAGCTTTGGAGGGAAAACGGTTTCCAGCAGTTACTACGTGCGAACGTGCAAGGATCTGGAGCGTCGAGCATGGAGAACGTGACAAGTGGCTTGATCTCGAAGCAGTGTAACTGCCCGACGGTTACTTGGAATGTTTTTGTATAAATAGGAGTAGACGTGTAGTTTCTCGCGTGTGTTCACAATAGATACATAGTCACTCATTTAGATTCAAGTACCCAGTGTGAGCGAACGAATTGTTGAGAAATGTATGTGTGAAACACCAATTTTATCAATTCAAGTCATTTACTTTTCCAGTATTTTACATGTTTTTTCCCTTTAAGATTCCTGTCGAACCTTTACATTCAAGCCTTGTTTATTTTACCAAGCCTTTCCTTTATGCAATTTACTTTAAACAATTTACTTAAAGCCTTATCCACATTAATTAAACTTCAAAATCAACCTATGTCCATAGGATCAATCTGATCGATCCTGCGAGTAACCAAATAAGTAACCATTTGGAGGATCAGCGGTTGTTTACCAAATCCCTAGGTAAACACACACCTACTGATACAAATTAGAAGTTGGACTCTGATTCTGATGGAGAGGGTGTGGATGCTACAACCTTCAAACAGTTAGTTGGTTCTCAAAGGTATTTGTGTAATCCCAGATCTGATATTTGCTATACAGTTAGAATGGTTAGTAGATTTATGAGTAAATCAAAGTGGTCTCATTACCATGTTGCTGTTAGGATTCTGAGGTATGTGAAGGGAACTCTAAAGTATGAAGTGTTATTTCCTTCTGAAAGAAAGACCGAATCAGAACTTCTGAGTTATTCAGACTTTGATTGGTGTGGAGACAGAGTTGACAGAAGAAGTATTTCTGGGTACTTATTCAAATTTCTGGGAGGTTCTATTTTTTGGTATTCCAAGAAGCAACATGTTGTTGCGCTGTCAACCTGTGAAGCTGAATATATTGCAGACGCTCTGACTGCATGCCAAGCTGTGTGAATTCTGAACTTGCTGCCAGATCTGAAGATTGAGGTAAACAAACCTCTGAAGTTGATGATTGATAACAAGTCTGCAATTAATCTTGCCAAGAACCCAGTGCTGCATGGAAGAAGCAAGCATATTGAGACCAAGTATCATTTTCTGAGGAATCTGGTTCAGAGTGAAATATTAGAAGTTGTGCACTATAGCACCCAAAAGCAGCTGACGGATGTTCTAACAAAGACAATCAAGACTGATCAATTTCTTCGTTTGAGGGATGAAATTGATGTTGTCAGTTTTGTATATATATAAATTAAGGAATGATGTTGGAAATAATTTATATTTTAGAAATGTCTTAATGACTAAGTTTATTAAAGGCTATTTTAGTATTTTATTATACCTTAATTTTGTGTATAAATAATCTAATAGTAGGTTAATGTAATTATTTATTACTCCTTATTTTTATAGTCGTCGTTTAATATTTTTTTATTATCTTTTATCTCTTCTGTACCAATAAAATGCCGCCGCGAACTCCATGTAAGAAAAAAGAAGAACATAATACGTTTCTTAGAGTGAGAAAATCTTTCTTCTCTCTAGAATAAACACGTGGGATATGTGGATGCCTCTCTACTCATATGATAACTTTACTCAGATTGCATTATATCCTTTGGAAGCCCATCTTACTCATTTTTTTCAAAACCAAATTCTTCCGTTAAAATGAAATAAAGCATAGATCTAAACCTCTGATACCAATACTTTTGAATAAAGACTTGTATGATGCTTAACATGCATTATGTCGGCTTAAAATTGATTGCACGTGTGCTATTTGACATGTATTAGTATCCGCCATTGAAATGATTATTTAGGTCGGCTTAAAATTGATTGCAAAGTAGCACGCACGCATGGAGGAGAATTGAAAGAATGCCAGATTTTGACATTTGTGTCTATAGAATAAAATAATAACACTAAAATCATTTAATTGAAATGAAAAGAAATTTCTGATACAATCCATAACAGAATCATTCAAATAATGATACAAGTTCAAAATTTAATATGTAACACAAAATCTATCAACCTTCAATTCAAGATTCCTCGGTTTCCTTTCTTCTAAGTTTGAGTACCTTGGACCAAAAGCCATCTTTCTTTCTTCCCCGACCTCCACCAACATCCCTCTCCCTGACTCTATTCCTCGAAGCAACAGCCAGCGACTTACTCTTCTTCAAATTCAAAGCATTATTAAAGCTTATCATACAAGAAACCGAACCAGCCGCATGCGAAGCATTCCGGTGAAAGCGTCTATTACGATGACCCAAAGACCCATGATTTGTCGAATCATCATCAGTAGGCTGAGGAGAGCCTGGTGACAAAGGAGAGCAATAGTAGAGAGAACAATCATTAGAGTTCTTAGTATAAAGCTGCGACAGTTTGTCTCTTAAACAAGAGGAACAAACACCTGGTAATTGTTTATCATTTGGATGCTCTTTGCACCTTACTCTTGTTGCTTCTAATTCACAAAACAACTTCATTTGATTCATTATTGCTAACTTTTTAGATTTGATGCGTATATGTGTATATCTGCTCGTGTGTAATGTTTATTTATACATAGTTGGTCAAAGAAATAATGTGTTGAAATTTGGAATACAACAATAATACAATCGACGACCACTCAGAAGGTTCCTGTTTTTCTCTATTATTGCATTTCACTTTTTTAAACTAAATAATTTTTTATTAATATATTTGAGAGGATAAGGAAAATGTATTACGTAATAATTATTATTGTATACCTCAACGTGATTATTGTGTTGTGACTGCGTTCAATGTAATCCATCTTCTTGATTTGGTTTTTTATAAGCTACTCTTTGATGAAATCTGTAATTGAAAGTGACAGGCAAATAAATCTATGAATATTTAATACTACTAGCGTTTTATTTTGAATTAGTTGTAATAGCGTTTATTTATGATGATAATATCGTGTATTTTTGTCTTAATGCTTAAATATTCTTATCGTTTATACGATGTAAGAATAAGTTTTTTTAGTAAAAAATATTCAAAACGTTTCACATATACAATTTTCTATTTAAGGTATTACACAAAATCTTTTATTTATCATAACTGTTTGTGTAAACAAAAAAAAATGAATTATCACAAATATTCGTATAATTTAGAAATGTATTTATGGATTTTTTTTTTTTAACTTTTCAGTGTAAATTGATGTGACACTCTTATCATGTTAAAAATTTAGTTAGATGCACCTCTATATCAAGCTTTAATGATTAGGAGATGCATTTCTAAAATATGTCCTATTACATAGATTATCGTTAACGTTAACATAAATATAGTATTACATTCCATTAAAAATAGGTGGTTCAAGACGTTGCAACATCTTTATAATATATTTGGTTGATCTTACAATCGTCGTATCCACTTCAATAAGATCCTTTGTTGAACAACGGTAAATGTACTCCACGTAACCGTTAAGTCCTCACACGTTTTCAGTTCCAGTATGGTGAACCGTATCTTCCCTTCCTTGTCAATCGAGGGTGAACGATACTCAAGCTTGACATCTCTTCGATTTTTTGGATATCATAAGAGAGTATTCAGTTTGGATTAAGATCGACTATAAGTTGCAAGATTTGTATATGTATTCATTATGGTTTTTGTAAAGAACATGGAATGAGAAACTTCTATTTATACAATTTGTAGATCAATTTAGAAACCATATCCTTTCATTCAAATATGCATATCCGGACACGCCTTTTTTTTTTTACAAAATAAAGGTTTGTCAAGAGATGTACATCTATAAAAATCCCTATTTATTATTATTTTCAATTAAAATAGGTGTGTCCAGAGATGCATATCCGACCACATCGAGAACATAACAAAAATTGATACAGAACCAATAAAACCACATAAATAGAAAATTTGGGAAATTATATATCCAAAATTTACCCCTAAGTTCTATAACACTAAAGTATCGAAATTACATCATTGATAACATTACATATAAAAACGAGTTTCATCATTGGATTCAAAATAAAATGTATCAAAATACGTATCATTATCTAAATTTATTGGTGGTTCCTTCTTTGACTTTTCCTTATTTGATTCTCTTTCAACGACGCTTAACTTGGTGAAATCTTCCATCTTTTCCAGAAAGTGATCCGCCGAAATTTTAGCATCTTGTATGAAATATATCGTCCACTTTGATTATGTCTTTGGTATAGGACATCCCGGTTTCAAAACGCGAACTATCAGGCAAATCCAGAGATGTATATCTGAAACGAATAAACCGAGTCCGAAGATGCATATTAGAACTCAACATTCATTTTTCAGCTCAAAAATATATTTATGAAAAAAATGAGGTATCTAATGAATGAACTTTACCTTAAATTTCAATTTCTTTTGCTCTTAGATGTGATAAAATGCAAGAATGATGTTTTGGTGTTGAAAAAATTATTGAGAATGGAAGAAATTTTTTTAAGGGTTTTCAGAGAGAAGTTTACTTATATGATGAAGAAGAAGATCATGTAAGGTGATGTTTTATCTAATTTTCCGCTTGATATTTCTGGATATGCATAATCGAAAACATCACCGAGTTGTTAATTAAATCAACTCAGTGAATAAAAACATAAAACGAGTACATGGAGTATTTCAGAGATTCATCTCCAGATACACTCAAAAATATACGGAGATGCATCTTTAAATCATATTTTATTCAAAATGGAACAAATATCAGAAAAATAAAGATTGTTATAATTTTAGGTGCATCTGGAGATGCATCTCCAGATATATGAAGAATATTTTTCAGGTTTTCAGAGGTCGCACTCTCCGTAAGGTGGAAAGAGTATTTCCAAAAAGACTATAGTGTTTATCTAATGTGGTGTCTATCTTTTTAAGGCTAAAATCATCAAATAAATTATATGTAAATTAAAATTTGTTTAATAAATATTTATCAAATCAACAATCGTAAGATATAAATATCACAAAATCAACAATCATAAGAGACATTATCACAAAAACGATTAAGTAAAAATAGAAACTTACCTAGTGAAATTTTATAATTTATAACAAATTGATGCATAATAGAATGTGTGATGCTATTAATGTAGAGAAGTTATCATTTTCTTATATAGAGTTGCTGATTTTACAAGAGTTGGTAAGTTCAATTTACATGGCATTATGTAAGAAGGGGGATTTATGTTGCACCCTTGGTAGTTATCTCAAACACTATAGATACTTGAAAATACCTTTTCACATTGTCTGAAGATTGAAATTTGAATGCACCCTATATCAGAATAAGTCACAAAATCGATTGAAATTACGAGTAATATACATGTCTATCTTTGATGATCATAAAGATAAATTTTTTCACGTAACCTGAATGCCGAGTCTTGAAATTGTAATGTGAATCCTTTAAGGATGAGTCCGAAAATTTTAATATGGATCCTTTAAGGATTGGTCCAGAAATTGAATTCCGAATTGATTGAACGTTGATTGAAATTGTCTTAATTTTTATTGGTTGTAGGTATGGTGCACATTGATGTTGTGATCAAAGCTAATGCATATAAGCTTGGTGATTTGAAATATCCCCGACAAGGTGCTGTACATGTTGATCTTGGAAAATAATTTACCAATAAACATGAGTTTACTCTACGTGAACATATGCTTTAGTGGATCCGCACATAGGCTGCCAAATTAGGGTTTGGCATTGTTATTAGGAGGTATTATTCTGGCTATGATAGAAGACAAACATTTGTTATGATGAGATGCGAAAGAACAGATCAATATAAAAAACCTCACCGAAAGTTGAAACGTGATGACATCGGAACAAGAAAATGTTAATATCCTTTTAAGTTGCACAAGTACCATAAATCGAATAATACTTGGACATTTAACAATGAAAAAATTCAATAATGAGATTGCATTTAATGTTCACATCCTTATCACGCTTTGGAAAAACCAAAATGGCGTATGCCATCCAACACCTGGACAAACATCCTCAAAGGCCGGCCAAGACCACTAGAAGACTCCATTGGCACCAAACATGCCCAATAAGTCTTGGGGGAAGCTGTTCAGTCCCATCCAAAGGCACAATGACACGAGGCCCATTATCTAGCCTGCTCCATCAAGCCCAAGGTATAAATACCTTCAGAAAGGTTTTTCAGGTACACAATTTATAATCTCCACTTTCATTACCACTATATTGAACCTTAAATTGATTTGGGAGTTGGAGTGTTAATAATGCAGGTATCCCCTTTTTTGTTGATCCTTTGTACCGGAACGTGATGAACTCGATTAAAGATCAATTTCTATGGTTCAAGGAGCACCGATATTACAAACTTCGATCCACGGTACCTCATCGCTATAGTTCTCAAGAAGCCTCGCTCCATTGTAGTTTCCACAATCCTCTCCATTTCTAATTCCATAATGGAACAATGACACCGTTAGTGGGAATCGACTTCTGATTCCTGCGATTTCCAACATTATACCTTCGGTTCTCTGACCTGAAGTGAGAAAACATCTCAATTGAAGGATTCGAAGGCTCAAGACGTTTGAACCTCAAATCTATCCAACTCAAATTGATCGTTCACAGTGATCTTGAGCTATCATGAGGAGAAGCCAGCGGACGTCGACAAATCTATAGAGTTTCGAGCGATTAGACTCATTTCACATTTAGGTTGATCAGAAACTTCAATCTTTTATCCTAGCCGAAACTAGTGGATGAAAGTATGCAGACTCAAATCTGGGTCAATCTCAAGTTCGGGAGATATTAACATAACTAGCGACCAAAGAGACACTGCCATGCAAATATCACCATGATTGACTCCAGCCATATATCTCATCATTGTATATGTTCCTTTCCGACCATGATACCACCATAGAGAATAGAGGTATGGATTTGACCATAGTTTGATAAAGGGTGACAGGAAATTCAGGGGACAAATCACACTCCGAGTCCAGAAACCAATGTGTTAAGTGGAAGCTTTAAGCTTCCAACCATCGACTGTCATATCCCAAATTTTCCCACCCTTCATATGTTTTCTAGTGCCACTTTATTTCGAATAAATGAAATGACACAATTGAAAAAAGATCATGTATGAGGTCTTGGGTTCGAATCCTACCTTTTCCACTTTTGAGTTTTTTTCCCTTTTATTTTCTAACATTACTTTCATTTTTATTTTATCCATAAAAATAAAAAAATTATATTTTTTTATTATTTTAATTCTAATTTTTCGTTTCTTAATTTAATCATTTTATTCACATGAGGAGGCCACTTCCACTCACATACTGTAAATATCATAACAAATAATTTCCACTCTCCCACTTTTTCATTCACGTAAAAACTTACGATTTTTCCCTTACAAGCACATTTTCTTTCCACACGGTACATAATTCCTCCAAAACCTTCTTACTATCTCACGTAATTTTGTTTAAGAGCAAAGTTTTATTAAAATAGGCATAAGAGATGCCTTCTCAGTACATAAGATACACCAGAACAGAGAGCATAAATACAACCGTATAAAAATACACCAGA